CCTGGATTTGGAACAGTTCACATCTTGCTATGATACGTTTAATATCATCAAATAGCCACATCTACCTATCCCAGGTCATTCGGAAGGACTTTGTAAAAAGGTAAAGGTAAAGGTTCCCTTCACACATATGTACTAGTTGTTCCCAACTCTAGGGGGCAGTGCTCATCTCTGTTTCAAAGCCGAAGAGCCAGTGCTGTCCAAAGACGTCTCCATGGTCATGTGGCCGGCATGACTAAATGCCAAAGGCGCACGGAACGCTGTTCCCTTCCCACCAAAGGTGGTTCCTAATTTTATACTTGCATTTTTATGTGATTTCGAATTGCTATGTTGGCAGAAGCTGGGACAAGTAACAGGAGCTCACTCCATTAGGCAGCGCTAGGGATTTGAACCGCGGAACTGCTGACCTCTCTGATCAACAAGCTCAGCGTCTTGGCCACTGAGCCACCTCATCCCATATAAGGACTCAGTAGGTGGACAAAAATGCCAAACTCAGTCTAGATATCTGGCTGACTGTGCAACNTGAATCCCACCACTGCCCGCAGCAGAGGGATGAAAGAGCCACATGCGGCTCCAGAGCCATGGGCTGTTGCAGACCCCTGAGTTAGTCAGACGGTTGTGAAGTGAACCTGGATTCCCTAACTGACTCAGCTTGGCGGAAGGTCGCAAAAGGGGATCCCTTAGCCATGGGAATTCCAGTTGCAATGGTAGGTGTAATTCAAGGACTAACTGTATGGCGAATCCAGGGTAGAAGGCAGGAATTTTCTGCAGCTCCAGCTTTTGCCCATTGCTGTGAAAGGATGGGTATGTCCAGTGTTTACCCTGTCAACTCTGTCCAGCCCGGATGGAAGAATACACTCCGTGCCTTGTGCCACAGTGATCCCCTGGATGAGCGCTGGTTGCCGGGCGCCACCCAAGTCAACTTCGTTGGAATGCGCTGTGCAATGTTTCTACTGTAAACGTTGGTGTTGTTTGTTCCTCATTATAAGAAGCTCCAACAAACACACTGGACAACCAATGTGATGTAGAGGTTCAGGGGTTGGGGAAGGACTGGAGATATCCAGATCCAAGTCCAACCTCACCCATGAAAATTGACTTTGGCCCAGTCATGTTCTCTCAGCACCACATCTTTTTTCTATTGTGGCGACCAAAACTGGATGCAGTATTCCAAGGGTGGCCTTACCAAGGCCTTATAAAATGGTGTTAATATTTCACGGGATCTTGATTCCATCCCTCTGTTGATGCAGCCTAGAACTGTGTTGGCTTTTTTGGCAACTGCAGCACATGGCTGGCTCATGTTTAAGTGTCTACTAGAAAGTTGGCTTGAAACTCAACATTAAGAAATCTAAGATCATGGCATCCGGCTCTTTCAATTCCTGGCAAATAGATGGGGAAGAAATGGAGGTAGTGACCGATTTTATTTTCCTGG